CACAGATACAATAATAATAATAACAATGGATTGAGCATTGTGACTTTCTAGAGCTCCATGATATTACCACTTGCAGTTGTTTGCATGGAATCCAAACAGACCGAACTTGAATTCGTTGACACTCAGTATTTGCAACTGAAATGTAACAAGTACTGGTCAGGCAAGCCTGTTGGCCCTCTAATCCCAGCACTCAGGAGGCTGAGGCAGGAGGATTGCTGCCAGTTCAAGGTTAGCTTGGGCTACACAGTGAGTCCAAGTCCAGTCTGAACTACATAGTGAGAACCTGTGTCCAAAACAAAAAAAACCAAGAACTTCTAAAATTCTGTTTGCAATTCCAGAAGATAGTCCAGAAATCAAGCACAGTGTCCCTGGAATATCACCCAAACCTAAATGATTTGCCAGTTGCTCTCGCTGTCACTACTTGGAAAGGTAGGAGAAGCTACAGGGGTCTAGATAAGTGGGTTTTTTATGCTAGGCATGGAACACAATGCAAAGGGCCCCAGGTTCAACAAGACCTTGAGGAGCCTTGGTGGAGACAAGAGCCAAGATGGAGTCTGCCCATTTGTCTTTCCATGGTGATCAGGGACACCAGCAAGCCAGCCTTTAAGAACACCCGCCATCTTGACAGGTTCCTGCAGAATCTTTGTTCACCCCGGTCCCAACAGATCAAATCTTTAATTTCCTCAGTTCTTTCTCAAGATTGGTGCTCAGTGCTCAACCTTCCAGCTGGGCAGTACCATGGAGTTTCTCTGGCGTAATTTCTATCTCTTCAAACTCCTCAGAGGCCAAAAGCAAGCAGCGGTTCCATTCCCTGCTACTCCTCCTTTGCCTGCCGAAGGGAACCCCTCTCTTGGGCTGGGTCCACCACTCTCTTCTGGGTTGAGCCTTTGGATTCTATCTGGAGTCTGGAGCTTTTTGGCTCATTCAGAATGGCAGGCTTGACTTGTCTCCTAGGATTTCGGGTCCCCTAGATGGGGGAGACAAGGTGTACTATCTTATATTTTTATTTCAAGTTGCCCAGCTGGGGATTCAAACTTGCCATCCTTCTGCCTCAGCCTCTTGGGGAAAGGCTTATTTTGTGAAACTTACAAGGAAAACTCAGAGTGTAATACTAAATGTTCACTGGAATCTCAGAAATCTGTCTAATTTGTCAGGAATAGGTTTTTCTCTGAGTTGTGTTTTTATTTTTTTCTGTTTATGAGATGAATGCATTAGTCCACAAGCATTGTGTATGGCATAACCCGAGTCAGCATATCACGAAGTCCAAGAATGAAATCGAGGACAAAGGAGGGAGATGAGGAGGCGTGATTTTTTTTTTTTTTTTGCTATTGTTTTTGTTTTGTTTTGAAGGAATTTGAAGATAGAAACTTTATGAAGTTAAGGTCACAGAGTAGGGCTTAAATCTTCCTGGGCTTGTGTCCTTATATATTAGCCAGTTCTTACTGGAGAAACATTTAATGTAAGATACACAAATATGTAGGAATTTACAAAATTGCCTTACAATGACTGCCCACAGAATCAGGTGTGGACGAGTACAAAAGGGCTGTTTGCGCGTTGGTGACTGGAAGGGATCCAGCTGAAGACCTAGAGCTCAGTGTAGTGTCCCATCTGAGGCCATATCAGGAGGCCCAAGGGAAGGAGGAGTGTTTATTACGGAGAAATAGCTCCCACTAGTTGGAAGGAGACCTGTGGTAACCCACAGAGACTTTTTGACTGGGTTTGTGCAAAGATCTAAGTAAGGGGGAAAAAACATTTTCCAGACAGGTCGTTGTTGTAGAAGTTGTTATAGTAATCATTATCACCTTGCTTGTTGCCTCACGCGTCACAGCCCTGGATTCCACTGTCTGCCTGGTTCTCGGTAACTCTCTACCTCAGGCTCCTGTGAATCTGACCAAGGCCTGGTCGTCCTGACTATCTTGGGCGCAGTCCCTGCCTTGCTGCCTGCCTGCTGTCTCTGGCCCTACCTTGCCTGTCCGCACTATCATCTATAATAATCACAGGCTATAGTTGGCTTCTGTAATTCAGGAGGAATAAGCATGTTTCTCTCCCAGCTCAGGCCGGAGCCCCTGCCAGGAGCCTCCTCACCCCCACCCAACCCCCATAGAGCAGAAAGCGCTGGCTCCACACCTATCCATGGGGTCCCCCCAAGTACAGGGCTGCTCTGACCTCAGTATCTGCATCTGTGGAACAGGAGCACCCAGCCCACTTACAGACGTTTCTCAGGATTGAGTGAGAGGGGAGCCTGCCCCGTCAGAGTGTGCTGGCCTCGGGTGCTCAGGACATTCAACCCCACAGGGGTGTTCCAATGACCAGGTTCCCCAAATCCCGAGAGCTTCAGCTTAGATTCTGATGGGAAATGTTCAACCCAATGTCTGAGAGCCTGGGGCACCAGGTGCTGCCCTTGAGGAAAGCGGGGTTCCTGGACCAATGGGCTCAGTGTGAGCTCTCCAAGGGTGGGGGAGGTGCCCCAATCCCCACTTCACCCCCTCACCACACCATACATCAATTCTCACCACATCCCACGTGCATCCCATAGGACAAAGCCCACACAACATACCCCACCCACCACCTCATACTCCACACCCCACTCTACAGGCCATAACCCACAATCCACAGCCCTCACCACACCGTCCACCCCAGTGCCCCTACACTTACTACACCCAGCCCTCATCCCATCCAGGCCACGCAGATGGTGGGTCTGTGGAGGCCAGAGGGCAGATTTGTGAGCCATCTGGTGGCACTGGTACAGCCAGGCTAACTGAGCTCAGGGAGCAGTGGGAGGAGCAGACCCCCTGCCTCCTGACCAGGAGTTCAGGGCACGCTGGGGTGCCAGTTAGCCAGGTCTCTGGTGTCAACCCCTGGGGTCCTAGCCTGACAGATGGGGGTATAAAACCTTTCTCCCCAAACACGGTGTCTTGGTTACTTCTCTTGTCGCAGAGACAAAATGCCAGACACCCAAGGTTAGAGGAGGAAAGGTTAGTTGTTTTTTTTTTTTAACTTTTTTTTTTTTCTTTTTGGTACTGGGGATCAAACTCAAGAGATCCTTGCCCTTGCAAGGCAGGCAGTGGCACCACTGAGCTAAATCCCTGGTCCCAGGAAAGGTCTACTGTAGCTCACTGCTTGTAAAGGTTTCAGTTCATAGTTGGCTTGTTCCAAGGCAGGGTGGCATGGCAAGAGGGGCATCGCAGAGGACAAACATGGCAGCAGAAAGCAGCAAAGTAGCAAGCAGCAAGCCAGAAGCCACAAGCACCAACCATTGTTCTGTGCCTTGTACCCCAGGCAAGGGCAGGTAGCACGCACAGTCAGGGTGGGGCAGCCTTGATCCTAGCGTGGCACTATAAATCAACCCCAGCATCACACATTCTAGGTCCAGCCACCTCTGAAAAGCCTCACTCATGAGGTATGAGACTTTGGGGGAGCTCACAGATTCAAGCCACAACCGATGGAAAACAAAGTCCCTGGACCCTCTGCTCTCCCCTGAGTCTTCTGATCTTTCCAGGGTCTGGAGGGTAAACAGGTGGCAGACAAGCTGGGGAAGAGGCAGACAGGAGCGCGGAGGAAAGGGAAGTAAAAAGGATGAAGATGGGATGCATTTAGGGGGGATTTACAATGTATCACAAAAGTGTGCTAAGTAAAAAGGGGGGAATACAGAAAAGTACAAAGGTTTGTATTGCCTTGGATTACACTATTAGTTTGCCTTTTCTCCCCACCCAATCCTGTGAGAAAATCTGGTCATTTGTCAATCAACTGCCCAAAATGGAAGTAATGATCCAACTGAACACAAAACAAAACTAATGCTTCATTTAAAAAGAAAACAAAACGAAAAGCAACTTTTTAATGATACGTTAGGATCAAAGCAACACCAGGAAGGAAGTAGAGATTCCTGTTAACTCACCAGCCCATCCCTGATCCCAAATCTACACAGATGTATGTATCATGTCATACATATGATGTATGTATCAACACCTCTAGCCAGAATGTCACACTTGTGACAACAGGTGAATCTACATTCCTGCACCATTCTCACTGAATGTTCAAATTTTACTTTTTATAGTAAGTTCGGCTTGAATGAGGAAGTATTCTCTCTGCTTCTACTTACTGAAAGACATCTATGAGACCAGCATTACTCTGATACCAACACCAGGCAAAGACATCCCAAGAAAAGAAGGCTACAATTAGGACCTTTAGAAACTGGGCGTGGTGGTCAATGCCTGTAATCTTCAGTACTCTGAGACAGACTCAGGAGAATTAAATTCAAAATCAGCCTGAGCAATTTAGCCAAATCCTGCCTCCATATTTTAAAATAAAGTTGTAAAAGGATCTGGGGATTGTGTATCAGGACCTCCTGGTTTCAATCTCCAGAATAAAAATTTTAAAAAGTTAAGAACTAAAGAGCAATGTGCAACTCAGGGTTTCATATACTTCTAGTTACACCAACAGTACCTCATGTCCGTCTTCAGAGAATTACTAATTTAATGTGATTTAATCTATTCAACTAAGGACAGATTAAGTGTGAGTTTTTTTGTTTTTGTTTTTTGGTGCCGGGGATAGAACTCGGGACATTGTGCTTGCGAGGCAGGTAATGGAACCAGTGAGCTAAATCCCCGCCCACCTTGAGGAGTTTTTGTCAGTTTCGTTTTCTGAGGGAGGAGAATTGCAAATTCAAGCCCAGTTTGGGCACTTTACCAAGATTTTGCTTCAGAAAAGGGCTGGGGAGCTGGGTGTGGTGGCACACACCAATCCAAGCACTAGGGAAGCCGAGGCAGGAGGATCTAAATTTCAGGACTGCTTGGGCTACATAGCCACTCTGTATAAAAAATAAATAATTAAAATAAATAAATACATAAAATAAAGGTCAGGGACTTAGCTCACTGGTAGAGCCCACCTGGGCTCAATCCGTACTACAGAAAAAATAAATAAATAAACAAATAACTGCTTGCACGTCGCTGCAATGTGGGGTACTTAAAATACTAGATAATAAACCAGGGAGAAGGCCATACCTTCGGAAAAGTACTGGGTTTAAAGAGCAAAGGCCAGGCTTCAAAATCAACGTCGTCGTGACCAACGTGTGAAGGAACCTCCGACCATTCAGGGAACCGATTGGCCTTGCCGGGGGAAGGTCCCGCCCACCAGCTCGCTGACCAATGACGGAGCAGCAAGAGTGGGGCTAGCCTCTGGCTGGCTACTTAAGGCGGAGCTGGGGGCGGCTCGCGGCAGATGATTCTACTTCCGCACCTCCTGCCGCGTGGAGCACGCGAGGCCTCAAACAGCCATGTCTACCGCCAAGGCCGCCCCTTGGGTCGCGGTATCCGAACGAAGTTCGTCGTTGTCTCCGGCCCCGGAGAGGAGGCCCGCGGAGGGCCCGAACGAAAGAGGTCGGAGAGGGAGTCGGGCCTGGCGAGGGGCCGGCTGGAGGGAGCCCTTTGGCTGCGTGGAGGCCGTGGCCGGTGGTTGCGGGCAACCGCCACTCTGCTTCGCTGTGAGGAGCGACCTGGTGGGCGCGGTGGTCGGTGAGCAGGGACGGGCTGAGGGGACTGGGCGGGCTGGGCCCTTCCTACGCCTGCGGCCAGTTACTACCACCGCCAGAGGAGACCCCAGTCCCAGCTTGGGCCACTTCCAAGATCTTCCCGTGCCAGAATAGCAGTTTATGCGCCTTTTGATATTTCATAAAAATGTTTTAGGGAGTCCAACTTCTACACACTGATGAAATCTTTGAGGTTAGAGGAAGGCTGAAAAGATCGGATTTTGGACCGTTTACCCCCAAAGAACAGCAAAAGTGAAATCAATGTTTCTGTACCGTCCAGAGATATTTACCCAAGAAAAGATATGTGATATTAACGCAGGGCTATGCAGAGCATCAGCCATCTCTTTTGCTTAGTTTCTTTAACTTCACTTGATAATTTATGTGTTAGAAATAAGCACCTTTATTTTTTTCTGTACATCTTGAGTTTTACAAACTGTTTGTTTTCTGGTTTTTTTTAATTGGTGCCGGGGATCGAACTCGGGACCTTGCACTTGCCAGGCAGGCGCTGGAACCACTGAGCTAAATCCTCAGCCCTGCAAACTGGTTTTTTAAAAGATGCATTTTGATATTAGAAAGATTGTCCCCATTAATTAGCCTTCAGACAGTATTGCCTGGCTCCACAGATCAGGCTGTAATTAAGGAGGCAGAGGCAGGAGGCTTGTGAGTTCCAGGCCGGCCTGGATGATTTAGGGAGACCCTATCTCGAAATAAAATAAAATAAAAGGACTGAGGATGTAGCTCAGCACCCTCTGGATTCAGTCTTTAGTACTGCAAAAAAAGAATACATACTGCAAGATTTTGCTCATCTATTGAAGTTAGTTTTGGCTTTTTTTTTTTTTTTTTTTTTTTTTTTTTTAGGTACCAGAGTTCGAAGTGCAAAACCACTAAGCTAAATCCCTGGCCCCTTATTTTTGCCTTTTTTTTAAAACCTGAGAAAATGGAGAGATTTTGTAGGCTGCTATGAAATAGTTGGTTATAACACTAATTGCGAGGCAAGACTGGAATTCATTAGCCCCTCACAAGGCTCAGGCATAAAGATCTAAAGAATGATGCTCCATGAAAGAGAGCCGCTAGGTTTGCTGTAAAAATCGTTTCTTAGAAAGAAAAAAAGAAAAGAAAAGAAATAAGCCGGGCGTGATGCCACACTTCTGTTAATCCCAGCACTCGGGAGGCTGGGACAGGAGGATTGCTGTGAGTTCGAGACCAGCCTGGGCTACACAGTGAGTTCCAGATCAGTCTCAACTACATAGTGAGACCCTGTCTCAAAAAACCAAAAAAAAAAGAAAAATTGTTTCTTAGGACTTACTAAGCAGCTAGAAAGCACAGACACACTGTCCTCATTTAATATTGGATCTGGATCCAATTTTTTTTCTTTTTCTTTGTCTTTCTTTTGTGCTAAGAAGAAACCCTTGGCTTTCTAAGTGCTAAGCACTTAGTTTGCCACTAAACTACATCTCCAGCTAGGATCCTATTTTGTTTGTGGTGGTAGTAGTGGTATTGGGGATTGAACTCTCAGGGCCTTCATACTGAGCTATGTCTCTAGTCCTTTCTTCATATTTACCTCTCCCCCCCCCCC